GTCCCTCCTAAGTTTCTATTAAGTGCCCTCAGGATTTATAGACGCAGCCAGATGGGAGGAGATCGCGGCAGCAATAATCACCGAAGTGGGGTTTCCCCATGGGGGCGTTTTTTGAAGTGTTGTCTTTAAAATAAAAGAAAATTCCCAAGAGGAAAAGAAATAGTTACATTGAAGGCAGGGCTGAAAAATGGCATCGAGTCTTTTTTTTTTTTTTTTTTTTTTTTTTGAGAGAGTGTTTTGGAAAGTAGAAAAATGTTGCAAAAATCAAACGAGTGATTTTAACCTAGACCCTGTATTGAGGTCTATTTTTAAATCCTGTTCTCTCCAACACTGGAGTCGGTACCATGGGAGGGGCCTTTGCCTGTGGGATTTTACACTCTCGCCCCATGGACGGGCACGTTTGCCCCCAAACCAACCTTGGTGCCCGCAGACAGCTCGCTCTGTGGTCCCCTGCGCTTTGAAGTCCTCGTCAAGTCCCCAGGTTTCTTCTTCCCCTTCCCACCCTCCCCTGCAGTCTAGCGCCGTGCCAGCCTGCTTTCCTCTCTGATTCATAGATCTTTAAAGCCTGAAGGGACAGGTATAATCACGTCGTTTGGCTTCTCAAGTGGCCAAGAACGACCTCGCCCCATTCCTGGGCTCTCCAACTTCGCTTCCCGACGCCTCATCGAGGTTTGGAGTAGCGAGAGCTGGGAAAACTCGGGTATGGTCTAACGATCCCGCTCTGCCGTGAAGGTCTGCATCTCCTTTCCCGCTCCATCGTTAGGAAGCTGCAGGTTTTCTGCTAGGTTAAAGAGCCCTCTGCTGTCGGAAGCCTCTTTCCCGTCCAGGTAACGGCAGCCCGTCCTCAAGTGGAACCAGCTCAGACACGACAGCATTGAGTTCACGTTATCTTGTAGCGCCAGTCGGTGTTTCCAGGCTTCAAGTCATCCTCGTTGCTCCCTTCTGGAGTCCTTCGGGGTCCTTTTTAGTGTCGTATACACGGATTTCATGCAACGGGTTCGCTATGGCAATACAGGGGAGAACCTTTACCTCCCTTCTTGGTGAACGCAGGCTGACGCCTCCAAGCGTAACCCATCTCCGCAGCCGAGGAATTACGCAAATAACATTCATTTACTTGGTTGTCTCCCAGTCCCCTAATTCTTCTTGGAGTCTCTCCAGAGTTTTCCAAAAACAGTCCTCCATCTTGAAAAAGCGCAGACCGCGTTCACGGTCCTGGATGAATGTCTTTCTGCTTTCGCCGCAGCCAAAAATGCTGTTTATAAATAAACACCACACCAATAGTTACGGACTGTTCTGCACATCTCCTCTGTTTCCATCGTTTATCACCTTCATTGTTCCTTGGGTCCCCTGAAAGCTTCATCAGCGGTGGTTTAATATCTTCTTGCAGATCATTAATCACCTTACTAATGAGCATTAGTTTCAGAACAGCACCCTACTAGAAATAATTTCATATTCCAGGGGCTCTTTTCCCCCTCATTACTTGAAATCTGTCAGTGAAGTAAAATTTATAATATTGGCCCTTTTGTTATTTTAGTAATTATTTAATTTTTTTTTAAATCGGGGAATAGTTTGGCGTGGCTAAGTCAGATACCTTGTGCTGGTATCTGACTTTAACAACCCTTAACTGCGGGTTGCTGTAGTGTCCCTGTTAACCCAACCCATGATTTAACCAGAAAAGACTACAGCTGTTGGACAGGACCAATGTTGAGAAAACGAGATTGAGAAAACCATCAAAACAGATACAGCCATTTTTATTTTAAAATTTATCGTGTTTTTCATCTCTTATCTTGGCTTAAAGTTGGTTTAACTGGTTTACAGCTGTGTATATTCCCCCTACGCACAGGCTTTGCCGCAGGGCAGGCCCCTCTGCCAACGTCTGGGTGCCCTACTTGCTCCGTAGCAAGATCCAGAAGCGGCATCGAACCACTTTGCTTGGGTGCTTCAACAAGTCCCGTTTGAAGGTGACAGCTGGGGGAGAAGGAGCGACAATGGATTTTTGTCTCCACAGGATGGATAAGGATGGGAACATCCAACCTTCTCTTTCTCCGTCCTGCTGGAAGAGCTGTCACCGACGTGACAGAAATGTAAGAAAGAGGCTCATCTTTTTCATCCTTCCCTTTGCCCCGATACAGCAGTTTTAACAGGAAACCATTTCACTCGAAACTGTAATGGGAAAAACTTCACCAGCCTTCGGTGTGGTCTAAGTTCGGGTGGCGTGACAGAGGTGGGCTTTCTGATTGCGTGGGTGCTCTTGGTTTCAGGCAGCTGAATTAGAGCAGCGCTGCGCACGCGGACTCAGGCACCAACCTGGAGCTTCTCGCAGCTTGTCCGAAGACAGAGGAAGAGGAGTAAATCCTTGGTTGTGCACACAGACGTTTCGTTGCCTCCCTGCAGTTCTCTTCCGTTGGATTAACAACCTACGTTGGTGATCGGTAAGGGAATTTTCATCAAACCAGGGGATCGGTGAAAGGGAGAGCCCCAAGCACAACTCGCAGTCGCTCAGCAGAAGGCACCGGCGGCAGCGTGTCTTACTCCCGCTGGGGTACACATCTGCCCTCTTGCTCCTTGCCTTCACATTCTCTCACCATCTCACTGATCGAAAAGCACTGTCGTGCCCGGATCAATGCCAGCCTGGAGCAGCTGAGGCAGCTTCTGCAGCAGAACCCGGAGCAGCAGGTGAGGAACGGCCTCCCAGGACTGGAGGAGTCAACGGAGAGTCCCTTCTTTGGGAAAAAAACCTCCTACTCTCTGAAGTCCGAGGTTAACCGACCGAGCAAAGGGGAGACCCTCCCAATACGCTTCCCATGCTTACTTTTTGGTTTGGGGTCTCTAAAACTCCCTCCTGGGCTCCTGTCTCTGCTTCCCAGCCTTAACACAAGGTCCTCCTCTACCTGAACCTCTTTTCCATTTCTCTAGACCACCAGAGCCTTGCAACGCCTGGAGAGGGCCGAGATAAATCACATCCCTTGCCACAGAGCGGAAAAGCACACAAGGGCACCAGATCCGTAAGCAGGACGGCACCCAACAGGGCACAGAGGCTTGAATCCAGATAAAAGGATTAGGGATTAGATCAAGATTAGGAATTCCATGCCCAAAGAGGAATGGATCCTCACATCTTAAAGGTCCAAGTTGATCCCCACCATGCCCACCTCCCTGTTCTCTTTCTCAGACATTGACCCAAAGACGGGCCAGGACTTGGCGGCTGGTGACCACCACCGTCTCGATGCTGTAAGCCCCTTTCTGAGCTCAATTGGTTCTTCGCTCGATCAAAACACCGGGTCCCACATCTTGCTCAAGACAACCACCGAGATGAGGGCTGCTCTTGCCCCAGTTCCTTCTTTCAAAGCCTGGCAAGCCCAAGATGACTTGTCTTCTACTAAACCTCTCCCCAAGCCCTGCTTTTCCCTTCTTCGACCTTGCTCTCTTTTCAGGGCCTGCCTTGACTATGATACCTCCAGAAACTCAGTCTGCTCCCAGGGAGGCTTATCCCCCTCCAACACACTTCACCATCTCAACCGAGGTCCCTCCCTTCGCTCTCCCAGATGCCAGAGACCTCTCCAACTACACCCGGACCTGGAGCCATCACCTGAAGGTCAGGACTTCTACTGGGGTTTGTGATGGGACAGAGCAGCATGGGGAAGCAGGGACAGAACCTGTCATCAGCTAAGGCTCTGTGGAACATGTGCCAACTCTGCCCTAAGCTTTCAGGGACTGGATTTTTTCAGGGCAAGACAGTCAGTCCTCAGCGAGGGCTCTGTCCCTCTGTCCAACACGGGGATACACGGCAAGATCCCGGCACGCCCCTGCCAAGTTTAAGTCACGCATCAATTTCCTGCTCTCGGTTCCAAAGGATGAAAAGGTGCACATAAGGGTGCATGCTGCAGTAGGAAACCGGCCTGAAAACCCAGGAGATCTTGGAATCGTAGAATCATAAAGGCTGGCAAGGACCTCTGAGGTCATCGAGTCCAACCGTTAACCCAACTGCCAGGTCCACCTCTAAACCATGGCCCTCAGCACCACGTCTCCCTGGCTTTTAAATCCCCCCAGGGATGGGGACTCAGCCCCTGCCCTGGGCAGCCTGGGCCAGGGCCTGACCACTCTCTCTGTGAAGAAATTTTTCCCAATATCCAACCCAAACCTCCCCTGGCGCAGCTTGAGGCCGTTCCCTCTCATCCCATCGCTTGTTCCTGGGGAAGAAGAGACCGACCCCCCCAGCTCCAGCCTCCTGTCAGGCAGTTGCAGAGAGCGATGAGGGCTCCCCTCAGCCTCCTCTTCTCCAGGCTGAGCCCCCCCAGCTCCCCCAGCCGCTCCCCCCCAGCCTCCCCCAGCTCCCCCAGCCGCTCCTCCCCAGCCTTGGGCTCCAGCCCCTGCCCCAGCCTCGCTGCCCTGCTCTGGCCACGCTCCAGCCCCTCCATGGCCTTCTTGGGGTGAGGGGCCCAGCGCTGAGCACAGTACTCGAGGGGCGGCCTCACCAGTGCCCAGCACAGGGGCACCATCACCTCCCTGGTCCTGCTGGCCACACCATTCCTGATACAAAATCTTCCCTAGTCTTGTATTCCTAATGCCTCTCAAGTTTCACCTAATACTGAAGAAGTTAAGAAGAGGTCATTCCTAACAACATCAGCCTCAGTTACAGAGAAATAATGAGAAAATAATGGAAATATTCCCTGGCCATGCAGCAACCCCAGAGGCCCACCTCAGGGCTGCGCAGATGACCAGGCAGCAGCAAGAAAGACCAACCACTCTCCCTTGAGCGCACAGCAAAACTACAGTAATTAAAAGGTATTTTTGCAAATGGTGGGTTCTTGGGTCTTCTTTCACAATTTCCATGTTGAGCATTATCTCAGTTTATAACTACATGGGAAGGCTGTAAGGCTATTTTCTGTAATAAAGCCTTGGCATTCAACGCCAAGTTTCTCCTCAGCAATTATACAAAAGAGGTTACTTAATTCCACAGCAGGCGCAATCAGGTCAGCTGAAGGTAAAGATGGATCCAACACTTCTTTACAGTTTGTTTCTTTATTCAGTAAACATCTAGTTACAAGTTCCACAAATTAAAAAAGTGGGGGAGCTGATCGAAGAGGGGTTTGGGGGGGGCCCACAGGCTGATCCAGCTTTTTGTTCTGCTCCTCCCTTCTCTAACGCACACATCTTTCTGCTTCTCCACAGCTGCACCAAGGAGCAGGAGGGGAACCGAAGCCTCTGTCCCCGTGAGGGGACCGACACGGGGTTCTAGCAGAATTCCCTCATATTTTCTTTCACAGGGGACTAAACACAAACTTCAGAACCAGCCCAACCCAGCACAGAAAGAGCGGAAAGGATGGAAGAGGCAAGGTGGCAGCTCCTCACGCCCACCACTACTGGCGGGAAGAACAGAACCAAGGGAGAGCAGAAAGGGAATGGGCATTTAATGCGTTCCTTGCACATCAGTGAGATTCCCCACGCCCCACTGCAGCACCCGAATGGGGCAAAGAAAGAGCAATGCAGAAGATTAGTTGCTTTGTTTCGATTCTTAAGTGGGAGGGAGGTTAATACTAAATTTGAGGAGGGTCCAAGTGGTGCTTTGAAGGGGCTTCAGAGTTTCACTGTCTGTACCTGGGAGGAAGGGAAACGGAGAACATAAAGAGTAAGTGGTGACCGAAAAGCAGCACAGAAGACAGACAGAGACGTGTTTAAACCTCATGTCTGGACTTCAAAAAAGGAAAAAAGTCCCTTTTCAAGCGCTAGATCATATCCCAGTGAACCCTATTGAAAATGCAGCAGAGCAGACACCAGCGCTTCCCGATATTCCCAACTGGATTGACAGCACATGGTCTCTCAGTTCCATACAATGACAGTACAAACACTCTTACAGATTGTGATCCTCCCTCGTTTCGTACCATCAGTTAAGGCTGACACCACACTTTGATGACAAAGCCAACTTCAACAGCTTCCACCTTCCCGTTCAGAACAGCGTTTCCTCAAAACTCCCACCTCCCCCTGCTCTCTAGATTAAGGGGGAAAACCGAATTCCAACCAACACTTCAAAAGAATAAAGACTGGGGCAACGGGGAAAAAAAAATAATCATCTGGCTAAGAGGCAACCGTGCAGTGGAAGAGGAGGAAAAAAAACTTTGTTAAGACTTACAAGAGCGTGTAGGTAGATCTGGGGGTGGCCACGCTGCACCCCCCACAAGGTCTGCTCTGGGTTCACCAGTCATAGCGACGGGACTGTCTGGAGGGGGAATCCTCAGGGCCCTGGATCGCAAGACGAGTCCCTTCAGCCCGACGGCCGCTGCCGCCCTCGTGACGTCGGTAATCCAGCCCCCGCTGCGGTCGGAAGCGGGACGTCTCTCGCCTCCACTCATCATCAAATGCGGCTGCATCACCTAGGTAAGGACAGAGCAAGCTCAGACGGGGAGGAGGTGGGGAAGCGGCACCTGGGTTTGCCAGGAGGAGGACAAGGACAGTACTCACTTTCATCCATGTTGATGTAGTCCTGCCTCTCCTCCTGGTCACCCGTGCGATGGTTCCGGGACCGCTGCATGATGTGGGCCCGCTCCCTGATGTGGTGTCCAATCGACATTTGTTCCAAGCCACTGTCCGAGTCCCTCACGGTCCGTCTAGTCTCACGGATCTGAGGGCAGATTCCCATGTGGGATCGACATTTTAATTCATTCCCCCAGCCCCATAAAGCACTCCGATTCTTGCCTGCAGTATTTCAGTCACATTGCGCTGCCACCACTCCCAGGATTTCAGACGCAACATAATGATGAGGGAAAAATGGATTCCCCCCTGCCAGCACTTCCCATCCCCTCCCAGTGGCCCTCGGCACGGTTCAGTGAGTCACAACACGTTCCTCGAACTGCGACTGACTGCAAAGTGCTGTGGGTGGCCAGCACCGAGCCACCAAGCAAAGTCTGTCCACCCACAGCAAAACCAGCAGCCTCGTGCTGTAAAGACACACTGCAGCCTCCTCCTTACCCCGCCAGGTGCTGAACGCATCTCTGAGGTCTCCTGATAGACTTTGGGCCCATCACCCAGGTTGGAATAGGAGATGACAGTTGAGGAGGTAAACGTCTGGCAGTTAGCACCACTCGTCATATGCTCCTGCAAGAAGAAACGGGGAATGGTATAAAGAAGGCATGGGAGGGAAGAGGAGATGGCAGTTAATTCTCCCTGTACAACAAAGTAGGAAGAAATTACAATAGGAAGAATATAATCCCCACGGGTCCATCTTTCTGGAAAATACGTCTTCCTGTTAACTTAATTCTTGTTTCTTGCTAAACAAGTCTACCCCCACGCTTCCTTCCTCCCCCACCTCTCCTCCCTGCCCTCAGCGTCAGGAACAACCTCTCTATCACTCCACATCGGTCAGCGAGCAAAGCCGAAAGCCTCTGCCACCTTGGCAGCTCGAGCAGAGCCAGCACTAAAGCAGCACAATCCGACAGGAGACCTTAGAGAGGAGGGCAGGAGCACCCTCAGTACTCCCCTCGATACAGACTGGCTTAGGGAGGGTTCTTACCATGTTTCCAATCATGTCGTTCATCATCCCAAACATATCTATAAAGCCACCTGCCTGATAAAGAGGAAAAGAGAACACAAGAATAGTCAGTTTGGAAAGAGAGGAGGAGAGAACAACAAACTATCTGCAAGAAACAAACAACTGCTGCCTAAGAAGAAAAAAAACTTGTTCTTTTCCCTTTCTTTTAGTAGTGCAGGGGAAAAAAAACAGGATTTGGGGTTGCCGTTCTCTCCATTCTCTCAGGTTGCATTGCCCAAGTGTTCTGGCTCTCCAGATCTCTGCACACGGCAAAGGTTGTTCTTTTAGTTTGGGTCTGACTCCCGATGAGCTGGGGTTTGCGAGTCCAGGCACTCGGCAAAGCTAAGAGAAGTCGTCTCAAGTAGGCACTCACGGGGATCTTAACTAGAAGACAGTCATCCTCGATGATGTTTTCACCTCATCCCTGTCAAGTCTTAATTTAAACCACAAGGAAGTTTCCACTGATTGTATTCTTTCTAACATAATAACAAGTTTTCTTATTTTCCCTACGAACACCTGACTTTTTAATCTTGTAAAGCTAAAGGCTGCAGTAATACACTGGGCCAGCAGGTCTCACAGGTTAATTGTGCAATACGTAAACAAAATTACTATGTCAGTTTAAGCTTGCTGATTTTTTTGTTTCCTCAAGTAGCCTCTTGTTCTCGTTTCCAGCAGAGCAGCACGCACACGCCATGTTATTAACCTTTGAAGTCTATCTGTTTGTGTTCTTAGCAATCCTTCTCTGAGCTACGACAACTCCAGGATGCTTAGTCTCTTTGCCTCACTGAGGCAACCCTGCAGAGCAAAGCAGCCGAAGCTGCTGGATCTGGAATAACCTATTTCCACTCTATTATTTTAGTAGGTGATGGAGATCAGCACGCTCCAAGCACAGCGTTCTCGCATACACGCAGTCATTCTCATTCCAGTCCTGTTCACCTGAAGCATTCTGTTGGCTTTTCCATCCGCCACCGTTGGCAAAGGAGGTTCAATAATCACCTCTGCCTACCGACGGCTAAGTCTTTTCCTTGCGTTGTCACAGTTCCTCCATTACCTCCAAACAGATCCGCAGCTTCTTTTCAGACATATGAGGTTATTAAGAGACTAGCTGCTCTTGCTGGATATTAACTGTCCCAATTCCTATGAAATATGGTGCTGTAACAGCTTTAGGGCTCTTCTCTGGTCAAGGTGCAAGTACAACCTCCCCATATAAACAGAGTCAGAATCTCTGCTCTAAAACAGCTCACGGACTAGATTAAAACTTTAGCAGGGAAACAAGGGAAAGGCCCGCAGTCATATAACAACTCAATGAGAGAGGGCCAAGAGAAACCAGCTGTCTCCAGGTTCAGTTCAATACCCTCTTCCGTATTCCGTTTACTATAAATCCAGAGCTCATTCCGGTCTCTTCGCACCTTCCCAACCCTCACTATCCCTTAGGATAGAGGGCCTTGCTCACAGATGGCTACATTTTAGCACCGGTTGCACACAGCACCAATGAATCTCAGTATGGGGCCGCTACTCGGAAAGCCTCTAATTTGACCCAGAAAAACAGAGAACTTACCATGCCAAGCATCCCAAAGGGTGAAACAGCTCCTGCCTGCCAGGACAACAGAAAAACAGAACAGAGTATGACCTTGCAACGACCAAACACTAGATCCTCCTCAGAACACCCTCATCCTTTTCAGAAACAGAACTGGGAACGCTCAGGCCCAACAAACAGATGAAGAAAGCGCCCCACTGACTCATGGCGGTTCAAACCTTATCACCCCTAACAACCAGACAGAAGGTGATGCTCCTGAATTTCTCCCAGTTATATTGATTTATGTCCTTGGGAAATAACACGTATGTCTTCCCTTCCTCCCATTCAACCTAGAAGACAGCTGGGTTCAACATATTAATGCACGTGGAGTAAAGAAAAGGACAACACCACCACGGCTTTAGAGATTAATTCTGCGCCCACCAGCCGCGCGAAGGCAAGGGGCGTGCCCAACCCACTAACGGTGGAAGACAGAAGATAACGGGTTTTAAGTTTAAGAATTCCTATCTCGTACTCAGCATCGTACTTTTACCTGCATCGTACTTTTACCTGCATCCTACGGCCAGCCTGGCGAGCCCCAGGTGTGGTCCCATCAGTGATGCCAAGGAGCGGGCCGAACCCGAAACTTCCAGAAAGCATGCGGTTCATGTGCTGCCGGTGGATGGCAAAAGGGTCCCTTTCGGAAAGGTTGAGAGAACAACGGTGAGGAAGGGACGACAGAAGACAAAGCCCCGCATAATCCACCCAAGACTTGGGAGTTGCACTTATGGAACTCTACGTTCCTTTCCAAGCTGAAAATCCAGAATCCCAAGAACTCCGTGTTGCTTACGGTGATCCCTGGGGCTGGAAGGGACCTCTGGGTCCCATCTTATTCCTTGTAAGAGAAGGTATTACACCACAGAATCCCTCTCAGGCATTAACTGACGGCTGTTGAGAAGTAGTTTGGTGTTCTGCTCCCACTAATGCTTTAGGGCCAAGTATGGCCAAGGCCATTCCAGAACCTCACTGCTCTAACAGATGAAAGCCGCTTCTCAGACCTGCAGTCCAGGTACCACCATCGTTTCCTACTCATTTCCTCTTGTGCCATCAAAACCCTTTGCGTTAACAGCTCCGCAACACAATCAACCCTTCTAGAAGAGCAGTGCTTAATTTTGCTGGGAGGTGCCCGAAAACCCTCCTGGCTGCAAAGAGAGGACTACGCGTAATGGGACCAGAGAGCAGGCGATCCTAAATATCGTCCTCTCACCCCTCTGCAGACGTGCGCACAAACGCAAGACAAACCTCCGGAACAGACTGCGTGGCCTGACATCGCGCGACATCCCTCCGCCCCAAGTAACCCGCGTCTGCTATCTTCCTACAACGTTATGCGTACACCCATCGAGAGGTTGAGACTGCATACAGCTTTTGCAGATTTGAGAGGGAGAGGGAACAATAACTGGGGTCCCGAACTGGTTTTCCTTCCTTTCTTTCTTTTGCAGCCTCCACTTTGAGGGCCGTACGCACTCACACGTCCCGGAGGAGCAAGGAGAGAAAAAGGAGAAGGACAAACGGTCACAGAATACAGTAGCCACAGTAAAAAAAGTCTGGGAAATATCATAGCACTTCCCTGCACATCTCATAGTCTGCGCTTATCCCTCCTGAGCGTGAATAACCTCAACAGTGTATAATATTCCGGAGAACACAAAAGCGCCTACTACGAACCAATACTTTTCTGTCTCTGCTGGAAATGCTTCCCCTAATAAAAGCTAGACTCATACCTGCCACATCACTGAGAGCACACAGTCGCTCTGTGACTAACTGGGACAGCGAGGCCTCCTCTCCTGCCAATTTGTTTACAGCTGATTGATGAAATTCTTCCTTATTACCAATTTTATAAGCAAAAACCAGGCCCTATTCTTCTACGTAAATTAATTCCACCAAATTCCTAGTAGTGCCATGCTTAACATAATCAAATTCTTACTGTATCACAGTCTATTCCTTATCCGCTTTGGCGAGGACTGCCAACTTCGTTTCCCTGCCAAAATTTATCAATAGCATCCAATTTCTGGCCTGTGGACAGAAACAAAAACCTTCAGTAAAAGGAATCCCAGGAAGAGTTCTCGGGACCTTTGTGAGATTTCAAGGCTCGTATTTCTAAACTACTTGTTGTCTTCTCTTTACTTAGTTCCTTACAACTTCACAACTGCTTTAGCAGTCTCCTCCAGCTCCGTTAATGACTTCCTCTGCAGAACAGCAACAAACGCTGGACGGAACGGTAGATTTTATCTACCTGAACTCAAATCCTATGTTGCATAAGGAAAAAAATTAAAAAAAATCCTTACGCAAAGAAAAAGATGAGCTACTCCAGCCCTCTCCTCCTCACACAGCTGCGGTGCCTTTTGGCCTACTTTAATTAATTACGCTTTCCTCCAGGACCAGGCTCCAATATTACAGAAACCAGACCAACGCAAACCAGGCTGTTCCCTGTGCTGCCCCTCGAGAGAAGGGCTGTGTTTCCCCCCCCCGATGCCCACTGCGCTGCGGGATTTCCCGCAGCCCCGCGGGCCCCCCTGCCCCCCCCC